ATGAATGGTTGGGTAAATCAACTGATGCTTCTCTGTTTTTCAAGAAGTTGAAAAGTTGAGTAATAAAAAATGGACTTTTATCAAACAAAAGCATTTCAGATTAAAATCCTACTGTGAAGATAACTTTGGCACTTCTTGGTCTTAAAATTATAACCTGGTGTTATGGGGGGCCTGTCTTACTTCATTCTGGAAGGGGGGATATCCCTAACCTATATGGGACATTGGAGAAATTAAGTCTTACTGAGATCATCTTCTGTGTCTTTCCATCTACTGATCAAGGCAGAGTCCACCTTCTATCCTTCCCAGTGGGGAAGTATTCTTCCAGCCCCTTCTCTGATGAGATGCTCAGCAAAGTAGGAGGTCTGGGCCCTTCTCTTCTCTAGCAATCCTTCCTGGTCAGCCCTCAACAACCCACAAACACAGGACTATGTAGAGATGTTAAATTCTGAAGAGTGAGGCACATCTCAGAGGGATATTCCAAAGTGGAAGGTTGAAGGTTGAAACTGTGACTAATTTGATTGTGCAAAGGAAGGCTTCGACACAAAACCTCTTGAACTCTGCCTTCACTTGAGACGTTCCTCTGCTCTGGACTCTGCCTTCCCATAGGTAGCCCTCCATTCAAATCTGGTGACCCCATCTCCTCCCTCAGAAAAACCCAGTCTTTTCCATAGCTGCTTATCTTATCTAATTGACACTTACTGGGTACCCGCCTAGTGCTAGGTGCTAGGGACAGACTTGTGAGAAACAGACATAATCCCTGTTCTTGTGGAGTTTATAATTTGGTAAGAGAAAATATTTTAATCAAAGTATGACACAAATAAATCGAAAATGACAAAGACTACAGTGAAGGAAGGATGTACTGGGCCCAGGGAAGGACTTCCTTGAGAAAATGACTCTTGAGGATGGGCGTGAGGAAAGTTTTTGTTTCTTAAGACAGTGGTGGATTTAGCATGTTCATATGCCCACAGACAGCCCATGCCAGCGTTTGAGCTGGTGCTCCTGAGATAGTGGAAGGGCAGATCCGTCTCAGGTAGCAAGAAGGACTCCTCTCCTGAAGAGGACAAGCTCCTGTGTCCAAAATGAGATAAATGTGGGATTGTGATTCTAGGTCTGTCTCCCTGCCAGTAAGAGCCATGGACTGGCTGGTCTGTTACTTGGTCCCCTGTGAATCAACACATCTCACAGAGACGTGCCTTACTCACCTAGAGATAACTGGAGTTACTTTTCCTTTTGCTTGATTCTTTAAGAATAATAGAGCTTCTCATCCCACCCTAATATTGTGCTTTTGACTCATTTTCTGTCCTGCTTTAGACCGGCCACATTGCAGTAAATGTCATAGCATCTTAGTTGTCAGCAGCTGCCCCCTTTGCTGTCTGGAAGGAATGATCCAGCTTGATGGAATCTTTTTGACCCTGAATTCTCTGCTAATGATCGAGGTGGGAGAGGGAAGAATCCTTTAGTTCAACTTGCCATAGAGAGTTCAGGAGCAAAAAAAAAGATTCTGGTTCTTGTAAAAAACCTAACTGCAAACTGGAGGGGGTATCTGAGCAAGGTATCTAAGTAAGGGGGTACCTCAGTAAGGAATTAGCCTCAAATACGGGACATTGAGTACCTCCATTTAGAGAAAGATATGGTACATGAAACAGAGGTCCCTTAAACCTTAAACAAACAAAAATGGTAAAGTCAGTTTGGAAATGAGATTTACAGTCAGTCCTGCATTTTTTTTTTTAAGATTTTATTTATTTATTTGACAGAGAGAGACATAGTGAGAGCAGGAACACAAGCAGGGGGAGTGGGAGAGGGAGAAGCAGGCTTCCCGCAGAGCAGGGAGCCCGACGTGGGGCTCGATCCCAGGACCCTGGGATCATGACCTGAGCCGAAGGCAGATGCTTAATGACTGAGCCACCCAGGCGCCCTCCCTGCATTTTTTCTTAAACTTATGTTGACATATTGCAGCATGTAGTACGTTAGGAAAGATGTGTTGCAATGTTCTGCAATATTTAATGTGTAAAGGACAAAGTCACACCTCAATCCCATGTTCTGAGTTTTGTGGGGCTTTTTTTGTTTTTTGTTTTGTTTTGTTTTGTTTTTTACTCCTTAATCCCCACCACCTGTTTAACCCATCCTCTGGTAACCATCAGTTTATTCTCTATAATTAAGGGTCTGTTTCTTGACTTGCCTTTCTCTCTCTTATTTTTTTCCCTTTGCTTATTTGCTTTTTCTTTAACTTTACATATTAGTGAAATCATATGGTATTTGTCTTTCTCTGACTTATTTTGCTTAGTATTATACTCTCTAGCTCCATCCATATTATTGAAAATGGCAAGATTTCATTCTTTTTTATGGATGACTAATATTCCATTACACGCATACACACACAAACACACACACCCCACTTCTTTATCCATTCATCAACCAATGGACACCTGGACTGCTTCCATACCTTGGCTATTGTAAACAATGCTGCTATAAACATAGGAGTACATGTATCCCTTTGAATTAATGTTCTTGTATTCATTGGGCAAATACCCAGTAGTGCAATTACTGGATTGTAGGATAGTTCTATTTTTAACTTTTTTAGGAACCTCCATACTGTTGTCCAGAGTGACTGCACCAGTTTGCATTCCCACGAATAGTGTAAGAGGGTTCCCATTTCTCTGTATCCTTGCCAACATTTATAACCTTATTTATTTGAATCCTTTTTCTTTTTTTCTTGATTGGTCTGGCTAGAGGTTTATCAATTGTGTTTTTTTTTTTTAAGATTTTATTTATTTTTTTTAGAGAGCGAGCGAGAGAGAAACAGCATGAGAGGGGAGAGGGTCAGAGGGAGAAGCAGGCTCCCCGCTGAGCTGGGAGCCCGATGTGGGACTCAATCCCAGGACCCTGGGATCATGACCTGAGCCGAAGGCAGACGCTTAACCATCTGAGCCACCCAGGCGCCCTAGAGGTTTATCAATTGTATTGATTCTTTTTTTTTCAAAGAACCACCTCCTGGTTTCATTGATCTGTTCTATTGTTTTTTTAGTTTCTGTATTATTTCTTTCTGCTCCTGGTTTCATTGATCTGTTCTATTGTTTTTTTAGTTTCTGTATTATTTCTTTCTTCTGTATTATTTCTTTCTGCTTCTGTATTATTTCTTTAGTTTCTGTATTATTTCTTTCTGTAAATTATCATTTCCTTCCTCCTGCTGGTTTTACATTTTGTTTGTTGTTCTTTTTCTAGCTCTTTTAGGTGCAAGGTTAGGTTGTTCATTTTAGATTTTTCTTGGTTCTTGAGGTAGGCCTGCATTTCTGTGAGCTTCCCTCTTAGAACCGCTTTTACTGCATCCCAGAGGTTTCAGACCAATGTGTTTTCATTTTCATTTGTTTCCATGTATTTTTTTTTAATTTCTTCTTTTATTTCCTGGTTGACTCATTCATTGTTTAGTAGCTTGTTATTTAACCTCCATGTATTTATGGTCTTTCCTGATTTTCTCTTATGATCAATTTCTAGATTCATAAGAGTTTTGTGTTTTTTTAATGTAACCACTTTTTATGCTAGCAATTTAACTTATAACATAAAGGGAGAATCCTACCAAAGGAATGAGCTACTATGTAAGTCTGTCATCGTGATACTGACATTTGGTTTCCAAATATAAATCCCGAATATCCTCATCAAACCAAATCTTCTGCTCATAAGCCTGTTCTTATTTAAATATCAGCAACTGAATGTTTAGGGCAAGTAGGCCTTTAGGTACCACCTAAACCAAAACCTACAGAGTAGCCCCCTCTGCTTGCTTGCAAAGCAAGCCCTGGAAAGAGCTGTTAGGGTTAGCCTAAAAGGGATCCTGATATGGGAGAGGCATCACCCTTTCTGGAATTGACCTTGGCTCCAAAGATGAATGTTTGGCATCTGTCTAACATATCTTCCACTTTCTCTTGCCCCTTGGAGTGTGGTGTGTGTCTGTGGGGGGGTAGGGGGGTGAGAGGGCAGTGCCCTCACATTTTCATCCTTCTCCATATCAAAGCCTATTCAACTACTGGGTATTTACTCCAAAGATACAAATGTAGGGATCTGAAGGGGTACGTGCACCCCGATGTTTATAGCAGCAATGTCCACAATAGCCAAACTGTGGAAAGAGCCAAGATGTCCATCGACAGATGAATGGATAAAGAAGATGTGGTATATATATATATAACAGAATATTATGCAGCCATCAAAAAAAAAAATGAAATCTTGCCATTTGTAACGACGTGGATGGAACTGGAGGGTATTATGCTGAGCGAAATAAGTCAATCAGAGAAAGACATGTATCATATGACCTCACTGATATGAGGCATTCTTCATCTCAGGAAACAAACTGAGGGTTGCTGGAGTGGTGGGGGGTGGGAGGGATGGGGTGGCTGAGTGATAGCCATTGGGGAGGGTATGTGCTATGGTGAGCACTGTGAATTGTGCAAGACTGTTGAATCACAGATCTGTACCTCTGAAACAAATAATAAAATACATGTTTAAAAAAAAAAAAAGAAGAAGAAGATAGTAGGAGGGGAAGAATGAAGGGGGCGGAAATCAGAGGGGGAGACAAACCATGAGAGACGATGAACTCTGAAAAACAAACTGAAGGTTCTAGAGAGGAGGGGCATGGGAGGATGGGTTAGCCTGGTGATGGGTATTAAAGAGGGCATGTTCTGCATGGAGCACTGGGTGTTATACGCAAACAATGAATCATGGAACACTACATCAAAAACTAATGATGTAATGTATGGTGATTAACGTAACATAAAAAAAAAAAAGCCTGCTCAGAGGACAGACCTGATAAATCCCCCAGCTTTGAGGTGTGAGGATTTAAAGTACTATCTTCTATGTATTAAGCAACCATTTACTGAACACTTTTATGCTGGATAATGCCTAAGATACAGAGAGACAAATTAGACATTCTCAATTTTTGAAAATGTGCAATCTAGTGGAGGGGCCATACATGTAAAAATAATTATTTTAAACTAGAGTCATTCTTGCCACAGGGTGGAGAACAGTGCTCAGGAGCACATCTGGAGGAATGCGGAAGTAAGCAGCCTCATGGTTCCAGTTGGGACATGGTAGGAAACATCTCCGTACCTTCCCAAAAGCGGCATGGTAGTGTTTAATGTTAATTATTTTCTCCGGCACTCGAAGCAGGCTTTTTTCTTAATGATGTTTAATATTAACAGAAGAATAAAACAATCTTTAGGCCAAAGGGCCTAGAACCTCTAAATAGGAATTTCAGATACCAGGAAGGAACATGCTGTATCCCTATAATCCCAAATCAGTGACAGGTCTGTGCAGAGGTTTGTACCAGATTTATCTAGAGCACAGGGTAAAATAGAAACTCTCAGACTCCATTCTGGAGAAGTTGATTCAGTAATGTTGGGCTGTGGCCTTTGCCTCTATAGTTTAATCACATACCCCAGGTCACTTTAATGTATGGCCAAGTTTGAAAATGGCATGATCTCTTGAAATGCCTGAAATTATACCAGGTTGGGGCATGTCTATTTGGAAGGCCAGCTCCCGCCCTTTCCTGGGACCATAGCTTAGTGTCTGAGAGTGACTTAAGCCCCAAACAGATGGGGTTCGTTGTGTTTCAGTGTCCATATGTGTTACATGGATGCTGCTTGCTCCAGAATCCTGGTCCATGAACTTCAGCAGGATGGGGCCTGGGACCAGATCAATAGTTTGCAAAGCAGGGTCCCTGGATGGCTACTCGAATAAGGTAGGGTACTTGTGAAAAATTCCCTAATCCTACCCCAGGCCTGTTGAATCAGAATCTCAGGAATGAGCAGGAATCTAATTTTAACAAGTTCAGTCCATATTTAACATATTTCTCAAGTGGTTCTTGCTCCTACTGAGAACATCTAGACCAGGCTCACCCACCGAGGAGACAGATTGAAGGGCTGTCTGGAAGGTGACAGGTCCAGCTGGCCAAATACAGTACCTACAGGGTCTGGTGACAACTCACCATAGTGCGGAGGAGTGAGGGCTCCATGCAAAGGGTAGCTGAGGAGGAAATTCCAGGTGGTGTTGTGGGGAGGGTGGAGGGAGGCCCTGACGTAGGAGATTCAGGAAATACTTTGGTCATGGATTCTCTCAGCAGAAGGACCCTGGTTACAGCACTGGGAATTGGGGGCAGGACACCAGTCTCTCCAAGGAGACCGGGGTCCAAGGCTGATTCCCAAAGAAGAATTAGATGGAAGAAAAATGAAGCAACTTGATGTGAACTCTGGGTACAGCAGTGACTCCAGGTGGAGTCTCTGAACATAAGATTCCTCTGAACTGAGTTGAAATGGCTTCTGCAGGTGGAAGTCAAAGGGCCACCATGAGTAAAGGGAGACGTAAGGCCGAGGAAGGGCAGCACTCGACAGCCCGGCATTGCTGGGAAGGCTGAGATGCAGAGGAGGATGACCACAGCATTCTAACTGCTGGAAGAAAGTCATGTCCCTGAATTCTGGGGTGATCATTCTAGAGTACCATCTTTTCATGGTCCAGTCCTACAGAAAATGATTATAAGAAAACAGAACCCTGAGTAGTTGCAAAAAACCTGTCATTTCTATTTTCACTTATGAAAAGCAGCTACTTTATACAGCCAATAAAATTAACTTGCAAAACTTTTGTCCATTTTAATAACAAAAAGGAATGAACAAAAGAATATAAAGGACCATGCGTAACTAAATACACAAGTAGATTTTAGTTAAAACAATGCCATTCTGGAGGTGTTTTTTTAAAGATTTTTTTTTTTTAAGATTTTATTTATTTATTTGAGAGTGAGTGACAGAGTGAGAGAGAGCGTGAGCAGGGGGGAAAGGCAGAGGGAGAGGGAGAAGCAGACTCCCCTCTGAGCAGGGAGCCCAATGCAGGACTTGATCCCTGGACCCTGGGGTCATGACCTGAGCCGAAGGCTTAACCAACTGAGCCACCCAGGAGCCCTGGAGGTGCTTTTTAAAAAAATCATTTTATCAGTAATTTGTGTTATGGGAATTAGAGTAAATAACAAATTTTTTAAATGTGAAATTAAGCAAAAGGATAAACTCATCCACTGTCTCTTTGTGCATGTCTAATGTATAAAGGCATTAGACAGAACCTTAGCATCCTAAAAATTATGCTTTTTCATTCATAGATATTTATTGCCTATTTATCTTAAGATACAATGTTGTATGTACCACCATATAAGCCTAAATTTAATAGAGGTTAAATAATACTATATTATATACAATGTACAATATGTAATATATGATATAACATGTTATAACACTTGTTACATGATATATGTTAACTGCACGATATATTACATATATACATATGCATACACGTATACGTTTATACATATATATTATTACATATTAAATGTATGTATACACATATATAATATATACAAATATATGAACTCTCCAATCAAATTAACAGAAGGAACTGGTTCTTCTCCTTTCAAATGCCCCAGTTACTTCCAAGTATGTCCAAAGGGGACCCCTCACACATTTCCACAGACCAATCACAGTGGTCTGCCGTAGTCAACACGCTGTTCCTCCTTTCCTCCTCTGGCACCCATTCTACCACAGCTGTCCAAGGAGCCACTTGGAAAAGCTCAGACGACATCCTGGCTCACACTCACAGTGTGGTCTCCAGAATGCCCATGCATCAGCCCCTCCTCCTCTAGGTCAGCCTCTAGCCCTCCAACCATAAAAGCCTTCTCCACACATGTTAATGGCAGGAAATGAGTAGAGGGGCCTGGGGCATGGATGGGGAGAAGGGTCTGGGACCTGGCAGCTTCTAGAGTGATAGCAACCAAGCTCAAAGTGTGACTTTATCAACTGCTGAACCTACACTTGGAGTATGCTTTAGCACTGGAGAAAATAATCATGTCATGTTTTTAATAAGCTTTTTGGACAACTACCAAGGAGTATTGCCTCTCATTCCTATGGTCCTTGAGGCAAAAATTGCTTGTAGGCAAATATTGTTTTTCCTCTACATGAGATAAGAAAAGAGGGAAGTATATTGGAAGTGCTTATAATGCTAATATTTTGTTCACTAAATTTGTCCTTTTGGCCAATCATCTGTTTTTACTGCTGTGGAAAACACATACAAAGATCCGATATTAAAATTTCATTTAAAGTCATAGGAAATGTGGCTTCCCATTCCTGCGTATTAAAACCTCACACATAAGTACAGTAACTAATAAATGACGAAGTAATTGGGACACTTGTGGGGCTACGATGTGTTTCAAGTTGAGAGAGAAAGGCCTTCACTTTAGGAAGCTGAGGCCCCCAGGTCCTGCGTCTGGGAGAGAGTTGCCCTGCCTTCCTCTCTGGGACCCCAGTATTAGAGACTGGGCCAGGGGTGCCTCAGGTGTAAGACCAAGGAGGGCAGATGGGAGGAGCTGGTTCCGCTCTCCTGGCCTCACGCTGGGTGTCTTTGGGGTCTCCTTGGTCACCCAGCACCTGAGACCTCACTTTCTGGCTCTGTGCCGATCAGGGACAGACCTCCTGCTGCATCTCCAGGAATATTCACTGTTCTCCACGCACTAAAGGTTAGGCGCAGCTGTGCCCGGAAGTGAAAAAAAGATAAGATTCATGACCACCGGAAAAGAGTGATGTGAATATAGTCCTGTCTGACATTGAAAACAGAGCACTCTAGGCTCTCCTGACAAAACACACCGGAATCCCACGGTTTACAGGATTTCTCCCATTTCTCCATCCTTCTCATGCAGCCTCTGACAAGAAATTTGGAGATCAGCTCTCTCAGTAACATCTTTACCCAAGTGCCTGGCCTTGGGGTGAACAATGCTTCAAAAATGCTGAGATGGAATTTCCAAGCAGTCACCTCAAATTCCTGCAGAACTGTGTTCATGGAGATGTTAATGATGACACTAACACGTGTGTGGGGACAGGAAGAATCTGGGCAACTCAAATCAATGAGGTAGTTCCCTTTGACTTCATCTTTTTTTTTTTTTTTTTTTTTTTGCAAAGGGAAATGAAGTTTTTTATCCACGCAATGACTATTCTTTCAACATCTGTCTTCTCTCTACTATGACACAGTACAAACATGAGGAAGAAGCTCACAATTTCATGGGGGTGACAGACAGAAGTGGGTTTTCAAGATGGTAGTGGAGGGACAGAGGCATGCTAAGCGTAAGGTGCCCACCCAGAGCCAGACATGGAACTTGGCACCTGGGGGCAGAGGGAGTCTTAACCTGGGAGAAGAGGTGTCCTAACCTGGTGCCTTAATGCGGGCTTCTCTATGGAAGTGCCACAGAGCAGGGGGCTTGTTAACAGCGGAGATTTATTTCTGCGATTGATAGTCTGAGATCAAGGTGCCAGTGTGGTGGGGTTCTGGGGAGATCCCTCTTCTAGTTGCAGATGCTAACATCTCTTATGGCAGAAAGAGGGCTGGTGAACTCTCTGGGGTTCCCTTTATAAGGGCACTCATCCCATTTATGAAGTCTCCACTATCATGACCTAATCACCTCCCAAAGGTAATTATCTTCACATTGTGGGTTAGGACTTCAACAGATGAATTTTGGGGAGACACATTCAGTCTATAACACCTGAGTCTCAAAGAATCATGAAGGATGGGGGCTAAGAGCAGCATGGTCTTGCTGTCAGATGAAGGTAGACATGGAATCCAGAAGAAGCACTCCCGTTAGACCAGAGTTCTACAAAACGAATATTTCTCTGCAAAAACATAGAGTTTGGGTTTCAATTCAGAGGAATACTTTTTCCTTACTTCTTGAAGGGCACTTACCAAATGTGTCTTCGTTGGACCAATTTATTTAAAATAGTTCAGGTGTAATTAGTTGGTTTCTTAGTGAATTTGGCAATGGAACTACTTCTGTGAAGACTTTGTCACTACAATTAGTGATTGCCAAGTTAGAATGTGAAAGATAATACGACGGCAAAAAAGAGACTTGGGGGTGCCTGGGTGGCTCAGTTGGTTAGTGTCCGACTCTTGGTTTTGACTCAGGTCATGGTCACACTTAACATGGAGTGGGCTTGGAATTCTCTCTCACTCTGCCCCTCCTGACTCATGCTCTCCCACTCTCTATCTCTCCCTCTCAAAATAAAAAAGAATAAAATCTTTAAAAAAAAAAAAAAAGAGAGAGACTTGGTTCTGTTGATGAATAACATGAATGAACACCTGTGGAAAACAAGTTTTCTAGTCTGTAAATGCCTCATAATCAGTTGTAGTAAAGAAGCTGTCTCTGGAGAGCACTGTGTCCTTCCCCAAAGTGCTTTTCCTGTACATCCTTTCATTAAATCTGCTGATTTTACTGAATAGCTTCCCGAAACAAGAACTTACGTATACTTATAGTTGTTTATCGGCTGCTTACTATGAGCTGGGCACCAGGACCAGCACTTCCCATGCTGTTCGCCTTGTTGATGCTCCCCCGTGAGATAAGAACTCTACTGTCCCATATTACAAAACTCACACAGCAGACTCCACCAGGACTCCTCACTGCCTCTTTCATCCCATGACTATGCCTTTGATATTATCCTTGTAATATTATGTATCCTATCACATTCCAACTATTTTTAAATATTTTATATACTGACTCTTCCTTCATTGGTTGGTAGATCAGGTACACCTTACTTGGTTTAAAAAGATTCTTCCAGTACAGTGTCTCACTGGATTCTGAGAATCAGAATTCTCAGAAGCGTGAGCAGCTGTCTATTTCCGGGGCTCTGGGGAGCTCACCTGGGCTGGTAGCCTGGTTCCACTGCTTACTACCCGAGCGAGCCATTTTACTTCTCTGTGCTGCCCTTAGCAAAATTGGGAGAGCAATGCTGTACCTCATGAGGCTGTGTGAGGGTGGAAAGACCATACCTAAAATGGAATAAAGTAGTGCCAGATGTAGTAAATACTCAGTAAACACTAGATTTTAATATTATTGTTCTTATTGCTGTCATTGATTACCATTACTTTCTCACATTTGCATTTGTAACTAATACTTTCTAAATCTATTCTCTTACCTGTAATTATATGAGATATGTTCATGTAATATATTCATATTATATATATTATTTACTCATATAAAAATAACTTGCTCTCTCTCCCACCATCTGCCTCTAAACTTGTTACTCATCTGCAGTCCTCAGCTCACGTGCATTTTCCCCCTTGAAACCCTTCCTGACCCACACATACATCTTCGTTATCACTCATGGCACTTGTTACAGTTAGTTGCTTACATTTCTAGCTCCCTGATAACTCTGGGCTCATTAGGATCAGGGAGCATGCCTTTATTTATCCTTTTGATCTCAGTCCATTGCAGATTTCCAATTTTTTTCAGTTAATGAACAGATGACTGAATTAACAACGCTAGAGGGATGATATTACTCATTTTAAAAATAAAGTCTACACATCAGAGCAGGAAGAGGCTTAGAAATAACCAAGTCGATTCCCTCTATTCCCATTATCCCTTCCTTTAGAGATGAAGAAGCGGAGGTACAAAGGAGTAAGACTTATCTAACATCCCATTGATAGTATGTGGCCAGCATATGCCCATGGAAGTGCATGGCCCTTGGCAGACAATCAGAAATAGTTGCCAAACAAGAAACCAAAATCCAAATCCTAGGTCTTTTTTACTGCTTTGTCCCTTTTTGTCATGAGTCATTATATCAGTGAAGATGCTTTTAGCTACAATTAAGAGAAAATGCCACTCAGGTTGGCTTAAATAATACAGACCCCTATTGGCTCATATGATTCAAAAATCTAGAGGGTAGGGTCGACTTCAGGGCTGGTGTGATTCAGCAGCTTAGTGATATCATGGTTTTCTCTCTATGTCTCCATCTTGCCTCCTGCAGTATGAGTTTTATACTAAAGCTGCCTTCTTCTTAGAGGTGGCTGCCAAGTACTCTCAGGGCTAGGTGCCTGACATCCACATCCAGAAAAGAGAGAAAGTGAGGGAACAGTTGTGGATGGGGATGGGGGTTAAGGATGTGGGGGGGGGAGTGTGAGTCACTGCTAATGGGTATGAGGTGTCTTTTTAGGGTGATGAAAACATTCTCCAGTTGTTGTGGTAATTGCTATACAAGTGTGAGTATACTTAAAAACCATTAAATGGTACACTTGAGGTGAATTGCATGGTATGTGAATTATATCTCAATAAACTGTTTTATTGTGATAAGTGAGGAAACCAGCGCTTTACCTGATAGCTCATTCTCTGCCAATACCCAAGAAGTTTTGTCTGACCTTAATTGAAATTTAAGCTTGCTTTATCCCAAGTTATGTACAATCTTCAGAACAGCATGAATGTGGACACAGGGGAGATGTATGGTTCTGCTGTGCGTGAAGTCTGAAGGCCATTAGGAGAAGACCGAAGAGAAGGGGACGTGGACATCGGGGACACTCCTGTACCTGAAGGGGAATTCTAATGGAACTCAAGCATCCGTTTTCCCTTCTTTCTTTGGATTACCTCCTCTAGCATTATTGGGGGAAGTGGGAGGACTAAACTTATGTCAATTTCTTTTGTTTTTAAAAAAATTGTATTTATCTCTTCAAAGAGCAAGAAAGAGAGAATGGGCATGGGAGGCGAGGGGCAGAGAGAGAGAGAGAATCCCAAGCAGACTCCTTGCTGAGCCTGGAGCTGGACACGGGGCTCGACCCCACAACACCTGACATCATGACCTGAGTCAAAATCAAGAGTCGGATGCCCAACCAACTGAGCCACCCAGGCGCCCCGACTTATGTGGATTTCTTTTTTTTTTTTTTTTTTAAGATTTTATTTATTTGACAGAGAGAGAGGGAACACAAGCGGGGGGAGCGGGAGAGGGAGAAGCAGGCCTCCCACGGAGCAGGGAGCCCAATGCGGGGTGCGATCCCAGGACCCTGGGATCATGACCTGGGCCGAAGGCAGACGCTTAACGACTGAGCCACCAAGGCGCCCCCTTATGTGGATTTCTAAGCAGTCTACTTGACTGCTCATGTTCCACTCTGTTCCTCAGCTTTCGGTAGCAGGCCACTGTCTACTGTACTGCTCTTTTCAGACCCCAATTCAAGGATTCCAGTTGCTCTCAAAGAAATGTTGCCAACCTCACAAGGGCGTTTGTGGAGATGTGTTAGTTTGCTGGCGCTGTTGTAACAAATTATCTCAAACTGGGCAGCTTAAAACAACAGAAATTTATTCTTTCACAGTTCAGGAGGCTGGAGGTCTGACATCAAGGTTTTGGCAGGGTTGCTTCCTTCTGGAATGAATTCCATGCCCCTCTCCTAGCTTTTGACGCCTGCAGGCAGTCCTTAACGTTCCTCCTTGGCCAATGGGTTTCTCTAATCTCTGGCTCTGTCTTCACATGGTCTTTTCATCCCTAGGCTTGCTTCCTTTCTGCATTTTAGAAAGGACACTAGTCACTGGATTTAGGGCACACCCTATCCAGGATAATCTAATCTAGAGATCTTTGCCTTAATTATATCTGCAAAGGTTTATTCCAAATGAGATCACATTCTGAAGTTCCAGGTGGGGCATGAATTATTGGAGGACACTATTCAACCCACTATAAAAAGTGAAGGAATCCTTCCATTGGGCCTACCTATGCTTTTTCCCTTCTATAATATCATTATACACAGTTATGTGGGTTCATCAGATTTTGCTGAAATTTGGCAAAAACAAAAAGGAACTATTAGCCTATAAGGGAAAAACAATTATAACCTAACCATGATTTTTTTGGAACCCAATAAAAGATTCCTCAAGAAATTAAACCTTTCATAGCCATCATGCCATGAATAACAGACCTTCTACCTCAGGCCCATGAACCATGGAGGAGGGCTCCCTTCTTCAAGCCTTCACGGTACAGCTAGCTGTCCCTTCAGTCCTCCAGGGATTGCCCTCACCCTAGAGCCCTTCCCTTTCCCCAACACGTAGTCCAAGGGACTCGGTCATCATTAACCATTTCCCTAAGTCTGAGTTATTTAATACTAGAGGAACACCATAGGGATGAGTCCAACAGAATGGTCCAAGGTGGGGCTGGCAACCTTGCAGTTCAGTAGGAAAATCAGGGCTGGGTGTAGCACTCCATACAGCACCCTTTTGAGCTACAGCTATGCCCCTTTCTTTTTCTAATTGTCTCCACATCTCTTCAGCATAGTTTCTCAAAACAATGGAGTTTGTTTTCTTCTAGGTACTGTGAGAAAAGGTCCATCATTGGGCCATACATCCCTTAATATAAGGGCCAGAGTAGGTTTTTAGAGGTGATACTCTTCTACAGTCCTCCCTTACCCATTCTTGGGGGTAGTGGAGAGGAAGGGACAGTGGTTTTCATGGTAGGAGGTGGTACTGGGGAGACAGACAATGGTTTCATTGCCCTGTTACACTACCAAAGTCATTTCCGAGTAGACATCACTTGTAGATCACTAGTCTTGTGTCAGACATAGTTTTTTTCCAAATTTTAAGTATATTCTTGCATATAGAGGGCTATTCATCTATTCATTAAACCAGACGAATGACTTTTATGTGCAGCCAAAACAAATAATATTGGCCAACTTCTTGCTTCTCATTATCCTGAAATATAAATAGAGCCAAGATTTTATTTGTTATAGTCTCTATAATGTTGGAAATTCCTGCAAACATATCAGCATAATCTTTCAGGGCACATCTTCTTAGGTTGGGCCGAAACCTTTCCTTTTGGGACCAAGCAACTCCTTGGCCATATCTCTAATCATTTATTTTTCCCTTAACTGCTTCTGGTATTTAATTTTCTGGCCTGAATTTTTATTGACTTAGTCTTTATTTCCTGGAACATTTATTGTTACTGTTTAATTATGAAATATTTCATTCATACAGAAATTACAGAGACATACAACAAGCACCTATGTGTCCACCCCTAGACTTAAACAAATGTCAATACCTTGCACGCTTTGGAATTTTTTAAAAAAAATAAGTAAAACATTACAGATTCATGGGGGACCAGAGAGGTGCATGGTTTTTTATTTTGTTTTTTAACCTTCTTACTGATGTTAATATTTCAAAATTTGGTTAAGAGAAATTTTATTTTAAGAAGTTGCTAAATTTCTTCAGAAAATGTTTTTCTTTTAAATGATTGGAAAGTGAGTCCTTTCAATGATGGCATTCTGGATATCTCTATCCTAGGCCTCTTCTCACTCTCCAGTTCTTCCAGACTTGTCTCATTCATGCCCATGCCTTGATTCCTACTCTGCTGATGACTCCTCAGTTCCTCTCTTCAACACAGGTCTCTCTTTGGAATTCTAGACTGGTACAGCCAGAGATCACCTTGTTGTGCCACGAGCCCTTCCATCTTAACATAACCCACCAAACCTATAATTTCCTCCAAGCGCTTTTCCCTATCTTGGCAAATGGCACCATCACTCATGCAATTAGGCATCTCCGACCCTCTCCTGCACATCCCCTGTCTGTGCAGGAGAGATGCACAGACATTAAGCAAATAATTACACACTTATTTAGGTCAGTGCAGAAGTTGGGACTCTGGGACTATAGCACTTCTTTAAATCTGTCAGCATGTCCTACTAATTCTACCTCCTCAAACAGGTATCAAACTGATTGACTTCTGTCTTCCTCTGTGACCACCACACTAGTCCAAGGCACCATCACCTGCTCCCATGATAGCAATAGCTTCCTGACTCTTCTCTATCATTCCTGGGGCCCTCCAGCAGGTTCTCTACATGGTAGTAGATTTTCAGAACACAAATCTGATAAGACTCCATCCTGCTGGACTCTGATTCATAAGATAAAAAAGAGTGGTGCATGGTCAGCATAGTTGGGCCCAGGCTACTCCTCTTGGACCCTTCTGTTACCCTCACTGTATGCCCCAACTGCTAGGTTTTGAAAGCAATATGCCTCTTCTTCTACCCAGAGCCTTTGCGTGTGCTGTTCCCTCCTTAGGAAGGACACACCCATTTATGGGCTTCACTTCTATTCATCACTTAGATCTCAACTCACGTGTTATTTCTTTGGGGAAGCTTCCCTGACCCCCCAATCTGGGTCGAGTTTCTTTACTATCAGTTCGTATTCAACTGTACTTTTTTTGTCCTGGGACTTTTCTCAGGTGTAATAATATACTCTTTTATTTATTTGATTAAAATTGGTCTTCTCACCTCCTCATCCCTTATGAATATATTGTAAGATCTAGGAGACCATGAATAAATAAGTGAATCTCAAGCTACATGGTTTATAGGTAGCCTCACGTGGATCATGTGGAAACAAGTGGGGTAGTGCTGATAACAAAGTTATGGCATTTGGGATTTCCATTGCTATGATCTCTCCCTCCTCTATTTCAAAAATAACATCAGACCATAAGCTAATGATACCACTTGTGTAATAAGGTAAAGGAGGGGAAAGCTCCTGGCATAAGATGTTTGATGAAAGATAGACTTTAGGGCGCCTGGGTGGCTCAGTTGGTTAAGCGACTGCCTTCGGCTCAGGTCATGATCCTGGAGTCCCTGGATTGAGTCCCGCATCGGGCTCCCTGCTCGGCAGGGAGTCTGCTTCTCCCTCTGACCCTCCCCCCGCCTCATGTGCTCTCTCTCTCTCAAATAAATAAATAAAATCTTTAAAAAAAAAAAGAAAGAAAGAAAGAAAGAAAGATAGACTTTAGATTTATTTTTTGGTATCTTAGGGAAATGTAAAGAGTTGTGAATCCAAATTCTTGGTGTACCTCTTAAGTGTTCTTAGAGTGTCAGCCTCAGTTTCAGCCTCTCAAGTGACACTATGCTATCTTCTAAGTGAGTTGTAATAACTAAAAATTTTACATCCACAGCACCTGTACCATCGTGAGGGTGGGTAAATATTTGCAGCTTAAAGAAATAACTGAAGACATAAATTAGCGAAAGAGAAGCACCCAAATAGCAAATGCTCCACGAACTGTAACCGTAGTAATATTATAAAATGATGGGAAGGAATGTTTTCTTGTAAGGAAAAGGAAGCAGTGAGCTAGTGTGGTAATAAAAGATTGAAAGTCAGTGGAGAGCAATCCTGGACAGTAATCCAGAGCAGGCTTTGTGTCCACGCATGGTGCCTGGGCAGCTTCGCGCCATTAACTGCTCAAGAATGGGGAGACACCTCCCGCCGGTTGCCTACTGATACGTGAGGTCCACAGGCAGCTGTAGATAACAATGAGTGGAGACATGGGGCCTCACAAAGGAAAGGAAACGATGAGCCACAGACAGAGGGGCAGAACCAGCAGAGGGGTGGGTATGTTGGAGAGACCAAATGAGGAGGCAGTGGTCAGCGCTCCAAAGAGTCAGCTCAGATGGAAACAAAACCATGTCCTCTGGATCTGATAACCAATACGGAGGTCGAGGATGACTTTGGCAAACACCATTTTCAGCAAAGTGGTGGGGCGGAAGGCAGAATCAACTGAGCCAGTCAGTGAGTAGCGGGCGAGGAACACAGACAGGGAGCTTGGATTCATCTTTCAAGAAGTGTGTCTGGGATTGGCAGCAGAGAGACTGGGTGGGGTACGCTGAAGGGGAGATGGGGTTGAGAGAGAGGTTTTTTGTTTGGTTTGTTTTTAGGTGAAGAGGCTTAGCATATTTATAGTCTGAGAAAGGAACTGGAATTAGTGTGCTGGGGAAAGAGAGGATAATTAATAGCTTGAAGTTCTGAGGAGGCATCAGAGGGCCAGTCCAGCCTTCATCAGCCCCTGGAACACTCCCAAATTTTAAAAAAATTGCATTCTCGATATCCCTTCTCCATTCGATATGGCCCTGGACCCTCTCTCTTGGTCTGGGCTTGCATGTGTATTCTTGACCTCCTGCTAGATTCCCCACACCTTTCACTTTGCCTCTTATTTTCTTTAGCCTGCTCTCACCCTGAAGATCTGATGACAAATTTAGCTTGTCTGGCACACAGCCACCGTTCCCCTTGGCTGCTCTGCTGCCTTCACCCTCAGCTGTTGCAACTCTTGGCCATCCTGAGCAAAGGCCCTGCCAAGCGCCCCCTCCCTGACACGTCCACATGGAGAAGTGCTTCCAGGAGGAGCTCCCAGCAAGAGGAGGGAATCTGGGTGCAGGGGGAAGGTCAGCTGGGAGGCCGGCAAGAAGGCGAGGAAGAGGGGAGCCAGCGGAATTTCCCAGGGAGGGTGACTTGAACAGTTCCCTTCAATCTGATTCTGTACTATTCTGTGTTTTTTTTTTTTTTTTTTTGCATGACAATATATTGTTAAAAACAGAAAACTTTTGTTTTTAAAGCAAAAACTTATCAATGAGGGGAAGGAAGTGTGTTCATGCATTCATTCAAGATACTTAGGGAGCCCCGGGGAGACCACATGCCAGGTCCTGGGGACACTGGTGAACAGGCTACATCCCCCATCTTGGGGAGCTTTCCACTATGCAGGAGAGATGCACAGACATTAAGCAAATAATTACACACTTATTTAGGTCAGTGCAGAAGTTGGGACTCTGGGAGAGTTCTGCTCTCACTGAAAGGTAGGAGGCAAGGTCATTGCTCAGAGAGGGGCTGGAGCTAGGTAGGGGCCTTGAAAGCCAGGATAATGATTAGGAAGAAGAGTTGCAGGAAAGGAGAGAGCATGTAAACAACAGAGATATGCATACTTTTTGCTTGAAGGTCTCCAAACTCAAGTCCCCCGAGCTTGATTTTGAGCTGGCCACACGTGTCATGTATTTGCTTTAAAAAAGCACATCCCTTTCTTGACACTCTGTTAATCACCATTCTCCTTTTAACGTTGCCAGCGAGGATCTCCTTTTGCTGAACTATCTTCAATTCACAGTGCTTGTACTGATAATAGACAATCCGTGTCTTCAGGACTGTTAAGTGACAGGACAGATCTTTAGATTAAAAGCAATACAACTGTGTCCTTATTAGGTTCTTAATTAGAGTTCCATGTGCTACTCTTAAGAGTCACTCAGCCCTCCTCCCCTGGGCTGTGGCAAGCTCAGAACAATTGCCTTCCCAGGGCATTGGCACCATAGCCCTGGTTAAGCTTCAAGGGTGTATTACCAATAAAATGACTCGAATTTTATCTAGTATATTTGAACAATAACATCTCAGTACACCTTACACCTTAGTGACTAAGGTGTAAATTATAAGTGCCTGGAACTTTTTCTTAATCTTACATACACATTTCTTAATATCATTTACTATTTTACGAGCATATATTTCTGGAATACTGGAAAAGAGAATTTAAAAAAAGGCAGGCATCTCCTAACACTTTTCCTCTTGCAGAAAGCAGTGCTTTATTTCATTGATCCACAGGTTTGATCTTCTGTGTAGTGAATTTCCAAATGTAGTTAGAGTTTGCTGTTGAGTTCTGTACTAAAGTCCGGGTGTCTTCAGATATTAAAGAATAACAAAACAAGAGGCTGTGACAAAGAGAAGTATTTCACTAATATTTTCTAGATAATGGATTCATTTGTTTTGTGCATATCTTGCCTAAATCCCTCCATTCATTTTATTTGTTTTTACAGGAGATATCTATCTGGGGCAGCTCAATCTGTTATGAGCCGTGAGGAGGGAGACAAGGAGAGACAAGATCCATTGCTGAATTTTTAAAAAACATCTGCATATGTTTCACATAATAGGCAAATAATAAATGTTTATTAAATTGACTTAAATGGAACCGGGATCAAGGGCGCGTGGCTTAGGGTTGAAATGCATGTTGCTATGGTATGCAGTTGAATCAATAGTACTGGGGTTGGGGAGGCGGGGAGAGAAAGGAAGGTGGTGACATCTGAAACAAAGTGAGGACACAGAAGCAAAGTGAACAGTGCACGATTAGGAAGATGGGGACTGGTACATATATCCGTTATAGGTACGGTTAAGTATGTGTGTATGCGTATATGGATATGTGCCACTACACGTATGTGCTTATACGTAGCAGTCTCCTCACGTGTGTAGCATGATAGGGTCAAATTTTAATAAATAAGAAATAGAGTTAGGGCGCCTGGGTGGCTCAGTCGGTTAAGCGACTGCCTTCGGCTCAGGTCATGATCCCGGGGTCCTGGGATGGAGTCCCACATCGGGCTCCCTGCTCGGCAGGGGGTCTGCTTCTCCCTCTGACTCTCCCCCCTCTCATGCTCTTTGTCTCTCATTTTCTCTTTCAAATAAACAAATAAAATCTTAAAAAAAAAAGAAAGAAATTGAGTTAAACGTCATCGTACCTATTTCTTTCATTTTAAACGAACACGTCGTTTTCCACGGCTCCGCACATCCAGGGTCCTCCCCGTGAAGGAAGGGCACGTCGGTGGCCCCGAAGCAAAGGACAATGGCTGCAAATGGGCTTTCTCCTTTCGATTAAGGGCCTCACTTAGCCGCGGGCTTATGGTCTTTCAACTTCGCACTGCTCTCCAGAGCCTCCTACTGCATTTAGGCACCAGTCCCCTGTGTTTTAGAACACCAGGGTGAAGTCCAAATAAAGGAAACAGTAATAAGCAAGTGCTGGGGCGTTCCTCTCCATTGCCCAGTGTCAGACCCCCTTCCAGCTTCTGGGGAAGTCCTCACCTTGGCGTCTTGGTCGGGCGGCTCCGACACTGCTTATTCTTAAGCTGAATATATCAGCGACTGGCTTTCCTCACCTCCTTTGGAGTGGGGGCCCGAAAGTAACTCAGGAGTCTCCGACACCTCCCCCCCACACCGCCCCCACCCGGGGTCCGGGGAGACTCCAAGGACGTGGTCTTTGGCCGCAGGTGCAGGCGGGCCAGTGGTGAGGACAGAGCCCGGCTTGCCTGGTCACCCCACAGGCTGCAGTGCTCCAGGAGGTGGCAGCCCTCTGGTGGAATGGGGGCATTTTCCAGATCTGTCCCCCTACCCTGACTTCACCCAAGGCCTCAGCGAGCTTGTGGGGGACTTTCTGTGCAGAAGAAAAAGCTGCCCCCTCCTGGCAGGTGCGGGTCTCTGCCAGTCAGTAGAGGGTGGTTCTGCTCCGGTCCTTCAGTGGGTCTCCGAGCTATCTGTGCTCCTTTTCCTAAGTTTCTGTTCTGTCGAAAGCCACCAACGTTTACCTTGTGGCTGACAACGACAAACCCCTGCTGGTATAATAAGGCCACCACACTTGTCCGGTTATGTCCATCAGCCTTTTCATAGTATTGTGCGCCTCTGAAAATAGAGAACTCTTTTATGAAGACATACAGTTTATATTATCTGGCATTACCACAGGACCTATTACATCCCCCAAAACAACAGCACTAGCAAATGTTTCTACTTAGCTCCGGGCTATTAACCCAGAGTAAATCATTAGCTTATGTATACTTCTAAATGTTCAGATTCAACATTAAAGGGCTCAACTATCAATATCTGAATAAGATATTTTAAAAGTTAAGTTTATCTCACCCTGGGAAGGAGGAAAAGGAAAAGACAGTAGTTATCAGCTTGTACATGGGGGACCCTTGAATTACACACAACACAAACCTATTCCTGGGAAGAATAAACTGGGTCACCAGTGACCCCCTCCTTCTGCCACTGAGAGACTCCAACTTCACCCTTTGCTGTGTGTCTTTTCCAAGCTTTCTCTGGTCACAGTGGCTGCCACCAGTGAGAGCACCCGTGGCTCCCACTACAGTCACTGGGCTTACTTCAAGGACACAGCCAAGTCCTACGAAATCTTGGTGCTCACCTCTTCCTTTACACCTCCTAATTGAGTTTACGTGGGTCGCATGAAAGGTAGGCAGGCATCTCTGGTCACCTACCATCTACTGAGGGCTCCTCCCCATGTTACTGTTTTCTCTGTCCTATCTGTTAAACTGAACCCTGAGCCTCTCCCCATCCTCCTACCCAACTCCTGTGACCTCTGGAATTCCTACACCATAATCATTAATCTTCCTTACCTTCGACTTCTTTCCTGGACATTGGCTCCACTTCCTTGACATCATTGAAATAACCCCCAGGTGACATTATACCTCTTGCAGCCTTTTCACCTGGGGGCTGTTTCTTTTTGTGCTCGCCAGTGTCCTTTCTGCATTAACAGAAAGTGTTGTGGACAAGTGTTGCCATAGTTATCCAAAACATGTATCTCCTTGAGTGCTCACGTCTCATCTTCCCATAGACCTTGAGCTACTAATGATTACATCTCCTTTTATATAGGTCCTTCTCGAGAGGAAACTCTAACCTCTCTTATCTTATTGATGTGTTATCGATATCATCTCCCAGTGTGTGCATTGTCATCCCACTCTTTGCAGTGTCTGTTGATGAACACAAGCTCTTAACTTTAATGTAATTCAATCCATCAATCTTTTATAGTTAATGAACTTTATATAATATTTACAACATGATTTTTATTTACAATTTACAGTTTACCTTTATTTACTTAGGACTAATATTCATAATTTATGACCTTGAAGTCCTAAAGATAGTCTATTATATTATCTTCATAATGTTTAGTAATTTTTGGCTTTCTCATTTAGATATTTGGTCTACCTGATTATTTTTTATTTATGGCATGAGAAAGGCATTCGACCTTGTTTTTGTCTGAAAGGATGGTCAACTTCCCAGGATGATTTATTGAAAAAAATCATTTCCTTATTGACCTGCAGTTCTACTGCAATCTTATTTCAGCAGCCCATTTATTAATGCATCTGTTTGGGAAGTCTAATCTGTTCTCCTGGTCCATTTTTCTCTGCCTGCACCAGCAACTCATGGCTTTAATTACTTTAGCTTGGTAATACCTTATGTAAACGACGTCTACTTGTTACCTCACCTATTTTTTTCTTCAAAGGTGTCTTAGTTATTCTTGACTCTTTGCATTATGCAAAATTTATAATCAGCTTATTAATTTTCAAAAAAGAAAAACCTGTTGGGTACATAATTGGTATTTCACTGAATCAACTTAGAGTCGACCTTTTTTAAATATTGTGTTTTCCAGTCAATGAACATGGTCTATCTTCCCATTTACTTAGGCCTCCTTAAACATTATTCAGTAAAGTTTTATACATTTTTCCAGAAAGTTTTTGCCTATCTTGTCATTTTTATTATTATGTACTTCTTTTTCTATTATTTTAAATAGTATGTTTAATTTTATTTTTCAACTACTGCTAGCATGCCAAGATTTATTTGATTTTATTTCCAGCAACTTTGCTGAATAAATTCTCTTGTTAGTTCTACTAATTTTCTGAAGTGTCTTTTGCAGTGTTTCTACACAAAATCACATCATTTGCAAGTAATTTCAATATTTTTTCTTCCTTTCTAAGCTTTGCAGTTTTACTTTCTTCTCCTTGTCTTCTTTGCATATAGGCATGCTACATTGAAGGAACCATGTGGTGTTGTAAGCAGATGTGTTACACAAATTCCACCTTTACATGTGTTTATTTGCAATAGTTCATTGTTAGTTAAGTGGAGAGGTAAACAAATAATGATGAATGTTCAACAAAATTATTAAATGTCATGTTAATGAAAATTTCTAAGATGTTGCAGATACTACAATGCTATCTCATCTTGATGCCAGTATGTAAACTTTACAGAACTATCAAATTGTGCTTCATTAAAAATGCCATTTAAAGATTGTTCGTTGGCAAATGTTGACTACCATGACATCTGATTATCTTGAACTAGCAAGCAAAACTTTGATGTTAGTAACATCATTTTTTACAACAGATTAGAGAGCAGGCATTTGCATTTGTATTGTTGCTAAAAAAAAAAAAAGAAAGACACAGACTGCATCTTTCAACTATTAAGTCAAGCCCTGGCAATTTAGTTTCTGCAAAACAGTATCTTCCACAATAGTATATTAATGTTCTAAATTTTAGATTTATTTTTCTCAGTGTTTAATTTGTAAATTTATTTGGTTTTATAGTGGTATAAGAACAACAATTATACAGTGTTTATGCTTAGTTTTATTATATATTTTAGTAACATTGTAATTAAAATAGTTTAAGTCAATCCTGGTTGCCTGGTTGAAATTGTCTCTCATTTCATTACTTACATTGGAGAAATTCTGTTCTAGTGAGCTAGAAGACTCTCCTTGGTCTCACTGTGGAGGACCCTGGCTTTGCTCGTCTTCCTAAATGTGTAAATTACCTACTTACATTGGGTAGATATACCTGACCACATCTGTTTCTCCACTGTGAGGGCTCCTGAGTGCTCTTTTTAAAATGTAGATCTGATTTAGCCTGTGTCTACTTAAAAGTATTAAAGAGGGCACGTATTGAATGGAGCACTGGGTGTTATATACAAACAATGAATCACAATCATGGAACACTACATCAAAAACTAATGATGATTAGTTTTTGGTATGGTGATTAACATAACATAATAAAATTTAAAAAAGTATTCAGTAACTTTATTTTTAAGATAATGTTAAAAATTCTTTTTTTTAGTTTTATTGAAATATAATTGTTTAACTGTATCAGTGTATATACACTGTATAAATGTAGATACACAGCATAATGACTTGACATACATATATTGCAAAATGATTACCGCAGTAAGTTTAGTTAACATCCATCAACTCATACAGTTACAAAATTTTTTT